TATATATATATATATATATATATGTATGTACATCAGCCATAAAGAAGTACAAATTTGAGTTATTTGTAGAAAAATGGAGGGACCGGCAGACCATAATGCTTAGTGAAACAAATCAGACACACAAACTTAAATATCACATGATTTCTCTTACCTGAGAAACCCAAAGTAATAAATAATTTAAAGAGTAAAATAAATGACAGATAATAGGAAACAGAGAGGTAGAGGTTTTACAGATGAGAAGGGGATCTAGAGATGGAGGAAAAGTGGCAGGAGAGGAGGGGAAGATGAAATAAAAAGGACTAACATGCAGTACACCTATATATGTACCAGTTTCCACAGTGAATGTATTCATTATGTATTGCAAATATGTACTAATAAAAAGGTAATTAAAATAAATAATTTTTTAAAAGATTGATGGGGTGTGATTACATTTATAGCACCAGAAAGATATTGCAAAATATCTTTTATTCTATTTATTTATTTATTTTTGGTTTTTTAAGACAGGGTCTCTCTATGTAGTTCAGGTGGGCCTTGAATTCACTATGTAGCCCAGGCTGGCCTCAAACTCAAGAGATCCTCCTGCCTCAGCCTCCCGAGTGCTGGGATTACAGACATGCACCACCATGCCTAGCTGCAAAATATCTTTTAGAGAGGCTTTCCAGGCTTCTGGAAAGATGGAACAGTTATGCTTTTCCACACTGGTAGAATTAAAAACCCTAATCATTATGCATAAAACAAACATAAGGTTCTAAAGATGAGAGAAGGCAGACTGGCTAGTGAACTTGGACTCAAAGAGCAACCCAATAGTAAGTTTCCTGGGCCTCTTTTTTCCTTCATATATCATAGTCTGAATGCCACAGAAGCAGGCAGCTCAAAAACACCAGTGATCACAGACCAAAAGAACCTCAACAAAATCATGTTCTCTCTAGCCAAAACACTAGAAAAGGGGCAGCTTAGCAGAAGACCAAGCTTTAGAAAATATTCACAATGAATAATCATTATGTACTAAAACATATACTAATAACAAATTTAAAAAGAAAATAATCATTCTATTGCTTCTTGGCCTTTTGGCTAAGATCAAGTGAAAATAACCATTCTACTGCCACTAAACACCACATAAAAAACTGGGCCCCCATCCCCAATGTGCCAGCAAAGGCCAAGGGGAGAGTCTAAACTTCCATCATCACCAGGCTGTAAAGGGCACCAACTCCCCTGCCAAGGTGGCATCAAAGGACAAAGGGGATCTGAGATTTTCATTCCCACCAGAGGATACAAATCTACACAAGCACTGTGTCAGTGGAAACCATGTAGAGAACTTGAACTTCTCCCCACTCCTGGCAGTAGTGTTATAACCCTTCCCCAACCCCTACCAGGGTGGTGTCAGAGGGGTCTAAGGAAGAGTCAGAACCCTAACCACCTTCCAATACTGACAGGTCCACACCTACTCTGTTGTGTCAGTGATACCAAGAAAGGGACTTGGACTTTTACCCAACCCCTGCAATAATGAGGCCTCACTTTCCTGCTGCTGGAATGGTGTCAGAGGAAACCAGCTAAACCAAAAGGTTAAATAATGTCCAAAGTCTTGTAACAGTACCAAAATTCCAAAATCAATCAAATATCACTAACACCAAGAACCAGAAAGACATCAAACTGAATGAAAAAAGGGAAATCAATAGATGCCACCATCAAGATGGAAGAGAGATGTTAAAATTATATTACAAGGGCCGGGGATTTAGCTCAGTGGTTCTGCCACCTGCCATGCAAGCCCAAGGTCCCAAGTTTGATCCCCAGCACCAAAAAAATTTTGGGCCGGGGATTTAGCTCAGTGGTTCCGGCGCCTGCCTTGCAAGCACAAGGTCCCGAGTTCAATCTCTGGTACAAAAAAAAAAACAAAACAACAACAACAACAACAACAACAACAAAAATATATATATATATAACAAAAACTTTAAAACAGTTATCATAAGAGTATTCAGCAAGTATTTACACACTTAAATGAAAAAAATACATAGTATTTGTGAAGAAATAGAAAAGCTCAGCAAAGAAATAGATAACATACATAATAAAGTGGAAACTTTAAAACTGAAAAATACAATAACTAAAATAAAAAATTTCAATGGATGGGCTTAATATGAATGGAAGAGGGCTGAGGATTTAGCTCAGTGGTTTCGCCACCTGCTGCACAAGCGCAAGGACCCGAGTTCGATCCCTGGTACCAAAAAAAAAAAAAAAAAAAGAATGGAAGAGACAGAAGAATCAGTAAGCTAAAAAACGAGCAGCAGTTGCTGAACACTTTGGTATGGGTTTGTAATCCCAAGTATATAAGAAGAAGTCTTGGACTGAGCATGGTGGTGCACACCTATAATCCCAGCACTTGAGAGCTTGTTTGGAGGTTCTATCAGGGGAGTGCAGCTATTTGTATACCCTTAACCAAGGAAATGGTCCTCCTCTATCAAAGATGGTCATCACCAACCACACAGCTTCAAGAGGGACAGACATGGAGTGGTGGAGGAGAATAGGAACACCCGCCTAGACAGCCAGATTAGCCAAATCAACCCTGGTAATCACTGGGGTGGCAGATGTTGCAGTCAGATTACCCTCATGTCCTAATCCCAGCACTTGAGAGGTTGAGGCAGGAGGATTGCCACAAGTTCAAGGCCACTACAGACTACCATAGTGAGTTCAAGACCAGTCTGAACTACATAGCAAGACCCTGTCTCAAACAAACAAAACAAACAAACAAAACCTTGGAATAGTAAAAGGAAAATAAAAGTATGATAAGCAAAAAATGAGTGAACATAATTTTTCTTTCTCTTGAAAAATTTTCTAAATTATTTTTGACAGGCAAATGAAAAAAATACTGATATAACTCTAAATATAAGTAGAGGAAATAATTAAGAAAATTATATTTTGATAAGCCTATCTCTAATTGTGAGAAAGCTTGGCCCAGACTGCTCAAATCATAAAAGGTCTGGGGGGAAAAATCATATATTCACCAACACTACTTGTGCACTACACTGACATTATTCCCTATTTACTAGTTATTTTGAGGTGATATCCATCAAAGAAAAAAGAAATGTACCAAGACAGACTGCATAACCATCAACAGTGCTGACACTTTCATATCAGGTCACAGTCACAGAATATCATGATGGCACATCTGTACAAAGAGGAATTCATAAATGTCCTAAAGTGGAATTTGTTGTATTTGTAGTTAACAGATCCATGAGAAGCTAGAATGAGATCCCCAGCAACTTGCTTTACCTCTGTCTTGCCAAATGTTTTTTTTTTGTACTGGGGATCGAACTCAGGAACTTGCACTTTCGAGGCAGGCGGTGGCACCACTGAGCTAAATCCTTGGCCCTTGCCCAGTATTTTTAATAAATTACTTAAAGGAAAGCAGACGTTTACAATTTCCAGTTATCTTTTTTTTTTTTTTTTTGGTACCGGGGATCAAACTCAAGACCTTGTGCTTGCCAGACAGGCACAGTGCCATTAAGCTACATCCCCAACCCAATTTCCAGTTATCTTAAAGCAGGAAAGAGTCAGTAAAAGAGGTAAACAGTCAAGATTCAAAATAGCCACAGAGTAAAGGCTCAAATACAAAATAAATGCCATCATATATATATATTTTTTTGTATCTTGGCCTAAAATATTTAAACTGACTTGCTTTATTTTCCCAAGTTATCAGAAAGATAACACCATTGTATTTTCACTATCTCATTTCATCTTCAAGCTTTCCAAAAGTCCTTTAAAAGGAGAGCCGAATCACTAAAGATTGTTCTCCCTAAAACACTACACTAATAAATAATAACATTATTGAAATGCTATTTGAGTAGGAATATCCTCATACACAGCACAGCATTTCCAAAAATGTTCCTATTACCCCCGCCTCAAAAGTCAATAAAGTGTGACTCACATCCATGGTTTTCTTGAATTGTAAGTTCTTTTGTTTATGGGCAGCATCCATTACAAGCTCTGTCTGTAAAGAGAGTGTAAGTACCATTAGTAAAAACAGAGATTATATATAATATTTTCTTTTTTTGCAATGCTAGGGATCAAATCCAGGGTATGCTAGGCTACCAACTGAGCTACACCAATAGCCCAGAAGTTATTATTACAACCAGCTTATCTTTTTTTTTTTTTTTGGTACCAGAGATTGAACTCAGGACCTTGTGCTTTAAAGGCAGGCAGCGGAACCACTGAGCTAAATCCCTGGCCCGACAACTAGCTTATCTTGAGAGCTGGGTGTTCAACATGATTTACAGCATTGAATCATACCATCCAGAAAGCAGTTGTGCTATTTATTACTCTCATTTTACAAATGAGGAAGGTGCAGAACCAAGAGGCTGAACAATGTGCCCAAGGTCTTAGGGCTAGTTAATGATGGTGCCCATCTTTGAACTTAGGCAGTCAGACATTACAGCCTGAAAATTCAGACACCTTGGAGACCCACTGATCACCTTAGAACATTTTCTTCATTAAATATGAAATCAAGAAACTTTGGTTTCAGGGCCAGGGATGTAGCTCAGTGGTGCTGCACCTGCCTGGCAAGCACAAGGTCCTGAGTTCGATTCCTGGTACCAGAAAAAAAAAGAATTTTCAATTTTTTGTTAAAGCACCATTTGTATTTAAAAGGAGGTCTTTATTCTGTAATCTTATGTTACATTAGGGACATAAACATTCACTTCTGTGGCTCATCAGTGACATGCTCTTCACCAGTAAAGAACCCTGGGCAATATGAGGGAAAGAAGTGTTTGTAGCACAGCTAAGAGATGATGCTCTCTTACTCTTTATCCACCTAACTCAGCCAAGATAAAGTCGAGTGAGTTCACTTGTCAGCATTTTCCCTGAGATCGATTAAGTTTTTGTCCGTCACCATAACACACAAACATAAATGGATTTTCAAGATACTTGGAGGGAATACTTGAGATGGTCTCACTTCAAACATGAGCTTTGTGGAGTACATGACATTCCCTTGGGAGAGCCACAAGCAGCCCTCACAGAACTTAGCAGTCACCTTCAAGCCAAGGTGAAAGAGGTGTACCAGAAGGTGGCCATTCACCTGCTAGTGGGGAGGACAGCAGAGACACAGATGAGGCAGGGCTCCAATATGAGCCCCACATGGGAGAACACATGGTAGATCCTTGCCATAGCAAGCAGGGAGCTGTGGGCTCACATGAGTGACTGTGTTCTTCTGCCAGGAGGAGATGACAAACATGAGGTCCAAGAAGTGATATGCTGTGTGTGTTCAAGGCTACTCAGTGATTTTTTGATGGGATTCCAGACACCAGGTTCACCTGTCTACTATACTGCCTCATCTCATGTCAGTGTTTACTTATAGGGTGATGCCACTCATGTTGACCCCAATGAATCAAAAGTTCTCTTTCAGGTCTTTTAGAGGAAGTGTCTCTTCTAGGACTCAGAATTTCTTAGACCAAATCCAGTGGAAATTTGGTTGTATTATTGATAACACAAAGCAGTGCAAAATACAACTATCTGTGCTATACAGGGGGAGAAGCAAAACGGAGGGGGAAAGGAGAAGAGATTTGCAAATGACCCAGATATTCCTGAGGTAAATTATTGAAATGGCTGCTTTGTGGTCCATTTTCTACATATCTGCTCTCAGACTGTATTCTGCAAACAGGAAGTATCAGTCTTAGTTACTGAAGGAGGCTCCCCACTCAGGAGATGGCTCTCTATACAGGCATCACAAAGATCTTATCCTTATCCTTACCTTAGCTGAGACTCTAAAACAGTGGGGGCAGGCATCAGAGGACAGAATGACTGACCATGTGCTGCCTTTGTCATGCTAAGGTCATTTCTGGGCTGGAGAAGAAACCTTAGCACCCTCAAACATCAAGACTCCTAAGAATGAGACCCAGAGAGCCCCCCATCCTCCCAACTCCCAGGGGTGAGACCCTCTCACTGCTTCACATAATGTCCTTTCATGCTGCTGGCCTTACCATCAATGTTACTTCTTCCAAGAAGCTTCCCTTGGCCCCATGGATGAGTTTATGTGTTCCCACTGTGCATTCAGATGGCACCTTCCTTCCCCCTTCACCATATAAGTCTCATCATGCTTTATCCTGAATCTGTGCCACAGCAGATTCTGGCCACGCTCTTTGCTTAGTGACAGAAGGATAACCATCTCTGTCTTGGTGTCCACCCTCAGAAAATGTTAGTTGCTTGAGTGAAAAGCCACAAACTTCTTACAAGCATTCACCCACAGCTTTCCCACCCAATTGTTCTAAAATAAACCAACTCATGGCTTTCTTTGATGAGTGGAAATGGCTTAATTTCCAAGAAGTGGAAAACCAAAGTGTGCAGATTTTAACCATTAAAAAATTAGAAGTTAGCATTGGCATCTTTCCCCTGAAGTTTCATTTAAAACAAAAATTAAATATAGAAGTGGTGCAACTCCAGAGTTCATTATGACTCAAGACATTACAAATTGATTGATAAACACTGGACTTTTCAAAGCTCTTAACATATTTTCCTGCTGTAGAGGGAACTTGGTGATTGAGCAAATAACCAAGCAAACGGCACAGGCCATTCTATTGCATAACAGAATTCAGAACTTGTTTAACTAACTCATCACAATTTGGTCTGTGCAACTTGTTAGGAGAGGAAGTTTCAGAAACCTGGTAAAATTAAAGAAAAAAAACTGTCCCTGAAAAGGCCAGAGTATCAGAGACACTTGAAAACATGAGGAAATGATTCTCCTCTCTTAATAGTAGAAATTATGTGCACAGACTCTGTTGTCTAAGACATTAACTTTGAAAAATTAAAATTCCCCCAGAGAGGTGAGTAAGCCTAGCAATGTCAGGATCATCGTCTGTCTCACCATCCAATGGGTGTAACATGCATGTTATTTCTGCTCATAAAAAAAAGTCTTTGTGCCAGATGGACTCCTCTGGCCTGTGTGAAAGTGCCTGATGCTGGGTTCCTTAAATGTTCCTATCTGCCCTTCCTTCCTGGTAAGAGGTACAGAACAAGTACAGGCTGTGAATTGGGAAAAGGACAGGGGATGCTAAGAGTAGGTCATGACATGACAATAAATGAAAGGTAGGCAAACTGATAGGAGGCTTCTCCCCAAGCCAGGTGTTATGGCTTGTATCTAGATGTTCCCCAAAGGCCCATGTGGTCAGAGGTGGAGCTTTTCAGTGGGTGGCTGGATCTAGTGTGTGATGCTGGGATTAAGGATGTGATATTGGGATTGATTCTCGTGTGATGCTAGGATTAAGGGTGTGAGTGCTACCTACCCTAAAGGCAGTAACCTGGATAAAATATAAGGGACAGAGAGGGCTGTTGTGATCGTTGTTTGTCACTTGTCACTTGGTGCTTGCTGCTTTCTGCCTGCCTGCTTTGTGATGCCCCTCTGCCATACCACCCTGTCTTGAAGCCAGCCAACTATGAATTTAAACCTCTAACAACTGTGTGCCAGATAAACCTTTCCTCCTTTAATTTTGGGTGTTGGGTATTTTGTCTCAGCAATGAGAGAAAACTAAGACACTGGGCATGGTATCACATGTCTATAATCCCAGTACTTCGGGAGGCTAAAGTAGGAAAATCCCAAGTTTGAGCTCAGCCTGAGCAACTAAGACTTAGTGACACACTGTTTCAAAATTAAACATTAAAAAGGTCTGGTAACGTAGGTCAGCGCGAAGGCCCTGGGATCAATCCCCATACACACACACACACACAAGCACGCACGCACGCACACACACACACACACACGCACACGCACTGCTGTTGCCCACATTAGATGTCAGTGGTTACCAAAGAAATCAGTCCCAGACTTAGAACCACAGGCAAAGTTGCCAAGTTTGAGGTAAGGGTAGAGTCAGCCTTAATTGTTGGCTGTTTATTGGATACACACCCTGCAAATAACCTCAGGGCACTAAAGGGCCAGGAAGCAGAAAGGATACTAAAGGTACCTCCAGGAAGGGTGAAAGAGACACCAGCAGTCCACACAGAGCTGACCTAGGAGACCTGGGTAGAAATCTTTGGGGGCCACATAAGGAAGACTTTGTGCCCCACTGAAGCCTGGGTTCCAGTCTTAAGGCCTGGATACAGAAGGAAATTCTGGAAAGGTCCTAGTTGGCCACAGGGCAAAGCTAAATATACAAGTCTTTCAGGAACACAATGGAAAGGAGTCAGAATTGTGGCTGGTCTAGTCTAAGTAATAATTTGTTATGAGCCTAGACTTCTTTTTCTGATCCTTATAACTTTCCAAATATTTGCTAGTTTTATGAACTCTTGTTTACTCTCACGTTCTTCCATGTAGTTAGAGTAAATCCTATCAATGAAAAAGAGCTTATGCATAGCTTCTATGAAGATAAAAACAACTTGATCTTCCCAGGGCCTCAGTTTCTCTATTTGTAAAACAAGATTACTCAATATATGGTGGACTTCAGGGAAAGTATGAGTCTCCTCTAGTTCCTTGCCCTCCCCTCATTCCCTACTCAGGAGAAGGGGTGTGGCCTAGGAGCCCACCAGCTGGGATTTGTCAGGGGCTCTTGTGCGGTGTTGTTTTAGTAACAGCAGCAAAAATGTGAAAAGAAGAGATGGATCCCTGAGTCCTCCAAGAATTTTAAGGACAGATCTGGGTGCAAAAATGGGTACAGAGACATAGCCACCTAGATTGAGTCCTCACATAGGGACTCCAATAAATAACTTCTGAGTACAAATAAAGCATAATTATGTGGGGGTAAGAGCAGAACAGAGGAGTTCAAACAGAGAAGCCCACGGTTTTATGCAGGAGGAAAGATGACATTTTAACACACTCTCAATTCCAACCTTTTTCCGTTGTAGCTTCTGCTTTTCCCTGAATTCTTCCATTTTCCTGGCCTCTTCTCTTAGAGTCTGTGCAAGCTGAATGTGACACTGGGCCACATTGTCTACTTCTGCAAAAAGAATTTTTTAATAAGACAATAATCAAGCTCTATCTGTATCTAAATTCAGATACACAAAAGTATACAAAATTAGACATGCTTAGTCACAAAAGACTGAAGCAAATATTAAAATCATTTGGTCACCAACATTTATTGAGCTCTTTCATGTGCCCAGCATTTCCCTGGCCACCAAAACCAAAGCTAGAAAGCCCTTAGCTTAACCTCCTACTATTAACTGTTACTAACCTAGCATATACCCAGCTTTGAGAAAAAAAAACACAGCCAAGGGTGCATCTCAGAAGTTTGCATCCCAGGAGACATTCCTAAAGCCATCATAATTTCAAATTTGACTCTTTGTTCTCTTTAGACAAAATCTTGGGATCTTTCCATCTCTAACCTCTCAGGAGCCTGAACTTTTTATTAAAAAGGTCATACAGGGCCAGGGATTTAGCTCAGTGGCACTGTGCCTGCTTTGCAAGCACAAGGTCCTGAGTTCGATCCCCAATATCAATAAATAAATAAATGTCATACAACAAAAGTTTGCCTTCTAGTTGTTATTATTGGGTAGAAAGATTATTGGTCATTTCTCCCCTTATTTTCAAAAATCTTTACAGTGAGAATGGCTTGCCTTTATAATAAACAAAATAAACTTTAAAATTTTATTTCTTCTAAGAAAACAAATTGAAGCATGGTATTAAAACTAGAAAGTGGCTGAGCATGGGGCAACACACCTATAATCCCAGGACCGAGGAAGCTAAAGCAGGAGGATTGCTGTGAGTTCAATGCCAGCATCATGGGCTATATAGTGAGTTTAAAGCCAGCTTTAAGTACATAGCGAGACCCTGTCTCAAAAGATACATACATACATACACACATAAATCTAGAAAGACAGATCTTATCTAAGAAAAAATTTTAAATTTGTGCCATCTAAATAACCTTGAAGATCAGCAGATACATGAAAAAAACTGAAAAGTATTTGTAATTTATATAACTAAGAGCAAACAGTTATATTAAAAGAGATTTCTCAAATAAAAAGGATATTTATATCTCAGTATTTAAAAATCATTTAAAGAACATGAACTCTAGAAAAGAATGGTTAAGTGGTTAATATGCAATTGAAAATATATTCAGCCCTAAAACTACTGAAAATATGTAAAACTTTAAAACCCAGGATATGTCATTTTTTTGCCTTTAAGTTTTGTAAAATTTCAAAAGCAAGAAAATTTTGAGTATTGATGAACATAGGGAGAAATGATCCTCTTGGCAGGGAAAAAAATCAGCACAACTTTTTTGGAGGAAATATGATATTTTGTCATCAAAAATTTTAAATGGAAAAGAATAAGGCAGAGCTGTATGAACTGAAATAGAAAGCTGTCTATGATATATTGTTAAGTAGATCAGCAAATTATGGAGAAATATGTACAGTATCTTCTTGTATAAAAACTTGCTCATGCCTATGTACGTATGTGTGCCTGCTAACAAAAAAAAAGAAGAAAAGACTTGTAAATGCATAGGAAAAAATTCTGGAATGATATATACAAAACTGTTAACATGATTAAAATTTGATATCCTTGGGGTTGGGGATTTAGCTCAGTGGTTTCACTGCCTGCTGTGCAAGCGCAAGGACCCAAGTTAGATCCCCAGTACCAAAAAAAAAAAAATTGATATCCTAGAGATTCTGAACCCCTACCATGGTATAATACTATTTGTTTATGAATAGATGCATATATATGCCTATATTATATATAATATATATATATATTTGGAATTGCATTAAAATCCCTGCTGTTATATTTACCAATAACTGCTTATCATTGAGAAGTGAAATTCCAGTGTCTACCATTTCCTTTATAGTTACATGTCTCATTTAAATATAAATTTTAATATAAATAGATATTATACTAACATGAAGAAAATAAAACTTTTTTGAGAGAAAAAACTAAATAAATAATAGCAAAAAAGTAAATGATTTGGACAATTCTGCCTATGCTGAAGTACCTTGAGCCGCACAAGTGGCTTTACATAGGAAATATGAAAAAAAATACCACCTTTACCTTGAGAAATAGATTCGTTGATGAGTTAAAGAGAGAAGATACCTTCCATTGAAAAGTTATGAAAAGTTAGGAGGGCTATTTATCCTCTTAACTAGCTCATATTTATACTTGTGATGTTATGGTATATATAATTTGGGTTTCATCTATGGTTCCAGGGTTATAACTCCCTCCTGAAGAAGGACCATGGAAATTTTAATCTTCCCCTGCTTTAGGCTGGCCATAAAGAAATTCTCTTACTTAACTGACTAATAATAGGTCATAAGTCCCTTCTCAATCCAGAGAATTCTTGCCCCATTCCCTGGAGAAAGGAATACTGCATAGGGAGTCCAAGAAGAACCTGAATAGACAGGCATTGTTGGGAGCTCCCCAAGCAAGCCTATACAATGAAGTCTCCATAAAAACCCAAAAGGACAGGGTTCAAAAGCTTCTGTGTAGGTTTGTGGAGGGCAGCATGGCTCAGAGAGGGCAGGGAAGGTCCAAGCCCCTCTCCCATATCTCACCCTATACGTCTCTTCTTCAGTATCATTCATAATAAACCAGCAAGGTGTTTCCCTGAGTTCTGTGAGCTGCTCAAGCCAATTAATCAAATCAAAGGAGGGTGTTGTAGGAACCCTGATTTTTGCTAGTTAGTAAGAAGCACAAATAAATCAACTGACATCTAAGGTGGGGGTAGGAGGCAGTCCTGAGGATGAGTTCTCAACCTGTCATATCTGCTGCTGTCTCCTGGTTGATACTGTGGGACCTGAATTGGATTAGAGAACACCTGGCTAGCTGCTGCCTACTGCAGAAGAGGCTGCCTTCTTACTGGGAGACAGAAACCCTCATACATCTGGCATCAGAGACCTTCTGTATTGATTGTTGTGGTGTGAGAGCAGAGGAAACAGTCTGTGTTTGTTCTGACAGCACATCACTCAACTAGCTACAGAAACATTCACATGTCACACAGACAGTGCCTGTTAAAAGTCATTTAGCTTGGAGATTCCAAACTCTTAGAAAGTCAGAAAGCCTCAGAAGCATGCTCTTAGTGCCTGAGACCACTAAGGCTGGATAGGATAACTTCCAAATTAGATTTGCAACCAAAGGCCACAATACAGAAACAAAAACTGAAAGATTAAGAAAACATGCTGAGGGCACGATGACTTGTGCTTTCCATTTGATCTTGAGACATGGAAGCAAATAAAGAATCAGCCATCTGAGAAAGCAAAGATGGCCCCACAGGAAGAAAATTATTTCCTCCCTGCAAAAAGATACAGAAAGTAGAGTTTCACCGAAGCAGAGATGAGCTCTGACAATTCTGACACTGACACTTCCAAAGACTTTCAGTTTTCTCTTGGAATCAGCCTTTATTATTCTCAAGAAGCATGATAAAATTAGAATGCCCATGCAAAATAAGAAAGAAGTCCAAAATACAATGGAGCTGTCTCTCACTGGAGTCTTTTCCTAAGAGGATAAAGGAGACAAATGGAGAAGGGGTCCTGTTATTTCTAGAACATAGCATCCTGACTTTGAAGAGAAATGAAGGAATAAGAATTAAAGAGACAAAAGAATGTGGGGTTAAAAAATGACCTCAATGGACCAGGGATTTAGCTCAGTGGTTCTGCTGCCTGCCTTGCAAGTGCAAGGTCCTGAGTTTGATCCCCGGTACAAAAAAAAAAATGACCTCAAACTTTCTCAGGCAATAAGCCTGGAAAATTGTGAGCTCCAATGTAAACAGTCTTGATTTAAGGTGCCTCTGAAGCATCCAAGAAGAAACATGCAGTAGAGGATGGAATATAAGGACTGGTACTCAGAGAGTGCTAGACAGAAGATATACATCTGTACATTCTCTGAGAGAAGGCAATAGCTAATGCGAGGGATGAAGGTGAGTTTACCCAAGGAGGTGAGAAGTTGTTATGATTTGTATATGAAATGCACCCCCAACGTATACAGAAGTGAGGCTTTTTGAAGGTGACTGGACCATGGAGGTGCTACACTTATCAGTGGATTAATTCATTGATGAGTTCACAGCTGGGTGTGCTGTGAGGAGGTGGGGCTTGGTTGAAGGAAGTGGGTCACTGGGGACCTGACCTGGGTATATTCTTAGGCCTGGCTCCTCCCTTCTCTGTCTGCTTCCTGGGTGTCATAAGTTGAGCAGCTTTCCTCCACCATGCCCTTTGGCCATGCCATTTCTGCCTTGGAGCCAGCCTGAACTGGCTGAAGCCATGCACCAAAATAAACCTTTTTTCCTTTAAGTTTTATATGTCAGGTACTTTGTCCCAGCAATGGAAAATGACTAACACAAAGTGTTAGGTTCATGCTCTGAGAACCTGCAACACTGACAATGTAGACAAAAAAGAACAGAGAAAGGGACAATCAAGTAACCAGAAAAGTAGGAAGACCCAAGACAGTGAGATGGGATGAAGCTTTCAAGATGGAAGAAATGCACAACAGTGGTGAATGCTACTGAAGAGTCAAGAAGAGGAGTGAAACTGTCCATTGGACTTAATGACACAAAGATTAGTAGTGTCCTCGGAGAGGGCAGTTCCAGATGATTGATCAGCCCACCTGCCAGATCAGAGTGAGAGGAGAGGCTACCGAGACAATGTCTCCTTTGTGGTTTCTTGTAATTAAAGATTCCTTCTGCATAAAAAATGGCTGGGGATCTGGGAGATATGGAGAGGCATTTACAACACTGTCCCAGTTGACTCTGGGAAGAGGAAATCAGTGCAAAAAAACATACAAGGTGTTAGGCTGGCAGACAAGTCTGGCTGAGGCAGGTGGTGTGTAGATGAGCATCTAGGTGACTATGTTTCTGAGATGTAATGAAGCAGAATACACAATCCTTACGGGTGTTTTTCCCAGTGCTCAGCATCATCACTTGGAAATTTTCAAGACATGCAGAATTTTCAGGCTTCACCCCAGACATCTTGATTCAGAAACTCAGGATGGTCCCAGCAACCACACTAATAACCAGCCTTCCACATGGTTCTGATGCTCACTCAAGTATGAGAGGCATGGCTCTAGGAAAGCCACAGGTACATCTCTAAATAGGTGCAGAGCATCCTCCAGCTCATTTCAACTCTGCAGAATTCACCTTAGGAGTTGCTCTAGTTTATCCAATTTGAAATTGCTGGTCAGATTTAAACTTGCCTTTGATGACAGACATGGAACTTAACAAAGACAGGAAATAGTTTTTTAAAAAATCACTTACGCTGCTTGAAGACTTCGAGGGCCTTCTTCAGGGTGCTAAAAAAACAAACACATACATCATTTCATTTCTGAAAGTGGTCTATATAGTATTATTATAGTGCCTCTGCATGCTTCTCTGTGCCATGTCTTAAAGACTACAGACTGATCTTTACTAGTAAACTTGAGAAGACTTCTTAATCTCAATTTCCTTAATCTCTGGCATATAAGCAGTTCTTCACTCCCTGCCTCAGTAGGGCAAGGTGCCAAAACTATGCTTCATTTTCCCCAGTGATAATATAGGAGTCTCTTTCTCATAACACCAGTTGTTCCTTAAAGTATGGCAACTAGAAGTACAAAAACAAGGCAATAAAGGAAGGTTTCAAACCCTACTTCCTGAATGCCTCCTTTGTATTCATTCAATCATCATGTATTTATTGATCATAAACTATGGGCCAAGCATTGTGTCAGATGTTGGGGATTCACTGGTGTGAGACAGGCATCATCCCAAACCTCAGAGTCTAATGGATGAGACAGACCTTAAACAAATTGTACTGTATTAGATTTTCTATTGCTGCATATCAAACCCAGCAGCATATAATAATACATATTTATTATCTTACAGTGTATGTGGGTTAGCAGTCTAGCCATGGTTTCGCTGGATTCTATGCTTACAGTCTCACAAACTGCATTCTCATCTGCAGGCTTGACAGGAAGAATCTGCTTCGAAGTCTGCTAGAAGCCTAAAGCTAATATTTTACTCTCACCCTAAACAAAGAAATCCCTGAGAATGTTTTAATTCAAAGCATCCTTTCTACCAAACCATGTTACTACTATCCATATATTTTTGATGTGTTTAGTTACTACTATCTGATTTTTTTGTTGTTTTTTGAGAGAATCTCTCCATGTAGTTCAAGGTGGCCTTGAACCCACTATGTAGCCCAGGCTGGCCTTGAGCTCACAGTGATCCTCCTGCTTAACCTCCCAATTGCTAGGATTACAGGTGTGCACTGCCATGCTTGGCATTATACAATATTTTTGTTTCATCTTGCTTTTTAAATCCCTAGAATTGACATGAATACTATTTCATAAACTTTAGATTTATTCATGTTTGTGATATCATTTGCTCACTATTCCTTCCTGAACTTCAGACCCTTTTTTCCTCAGCTATTCTTCTTCCTGAGGATATCGTTTAAAAGTACCTTTATTGAAGATCTGCTTATAGTTAAATTTTTGTTTGTCTGAACAATTTTCACTTCAATTTTTTTGTCTAAGAACATACTTTTTCTTGTTTCTTGAAAAAATAATTTCTCTGGATATACAATTCCAGGTTGATAATTATTTCCTTTTAGCACCTTAAAAATATAATTGCACAGTGCCTGGTTTCATTGTTGCTGTTGAAAAACCAGATTATGACTCTAATAAATAAAAGTTCAGTAATGCATAATCATTCTCTCTGCATGCCATTAGACTTTTTCATTATTCTGAATCTTGCTCAGTTTGACTACCCTGATGCAGTCATGAATTTATAAATCTTGGAATTTGTTTTGCTTCCTGAATCTGAGAATTTATGGCTCCCATCACTTCTAGAAAATTCTCAACTTCTGTTGCTTCAAATATTTCTTCTCCTTCTATTATATCTTCTGGAACTCTGATTAAATGTGCATGATACTTTATTCTCCATGTTTCTTAATTTTTTTTTGTTATTCTTGGACTTTTAAAATAATTTTTAAAATTTTATTAGTACTTGTTTTTCCTGTGATGAGTTCTGGGTGATTTCATTTTCTAAATTTTATTTTTTAATTGACCAAGATTTTATGTATTTATCATGTATAACATGATAGTTCAAAATATGTATACATTGTGATATGGTTCAGCAGGGCCAATTAACATACACATTACTTCGTCTACATACCTACTATTGTTTTTAGTGACAACATTTAAAATCTATTCTGTCAGCAATGTATAATACAATTCATTGTTGTTAACTATAATCATGTTATATAATAGATTTCTTGAGACCTTACTTCTCCTAACTGAAATCTTGTATCTTTTGGCCAATATCTTCCTAACCATGACCCCAGGTCTTGTTCATTTTTTCTTTTCAAAACGTTTTGGGAACTTCTGAAAGTTCTGTCACTCGTACATTTAGTTCACACTTTTTGTTTTCTTTTCTCCCTCCTTCCCTCCTTCCCTCCCTTCCTTCTTTCCTCCTTCCCTTACTCTCATCTGTCCTTCGTTCCTAACTTCCTTCCTTCCTTCCTTTCTTCCCATCTTCCTTTCCTCTTTCCTTCCTGTTTTTCAGTTCCGGGGATTGAGCCCAGGGGAGCTCTACCACCGAGCTACATCCACAGCCTTTTTATATTTTTCTCTTTGAGACAGTATTTCAGTTGCCCTGGCAAGTCTAGAACTTGTGATCCTCCTGCCTCAGATTCCCTCAATGCTGGGATTACAGGCACATACCACCCTGCCCAGCTCACTCTTTTATTTTCTTTAAACATATTATATAGATTTGGTTTTTAGATCTGTTAATTCCAGTATCTAAAATCTATGCACATCTCTTATTGCTACTTATTGTTTCTGTTGACTCATATTTATGGTAACTTATTTTCATGTGTGTGTGTACACTGTATAATGAGCTCAATGTTCATTGTGGGATCTTTAGAAAGGATCTGCATTGATGTGTGCTAGTAGACTTAATCACCTAGGACCACTTTAAATTTTTAGGTTAGGATTCTTCAGCCCACCTTAATGAAATATGGTAATGTGGTATGCCAAATCCTGTCTGCTCCATTAGGACCTCTGAGGGGATACTGCCAGCAGAGCACTGAACCGATCAGGAAATTTTTCAAAGTATAGGTTTCCATATGATGCTCATGAAACCAGTCTGAACATGAGTGAGAGTATTCCTAAGTAGGTACCAGTTCCTGCTCATTGCTGCATTCTCAGAGTATTCAGCGAAAGTTAATGAATAATTATGGTGCAGAAATCTCACAGTGGTGGTAACTATAGAATTGTGCAAAGATGCTTTCTCATAACTATCATAAACCATAAAATACATAAATATA